CGTTATATTAAATTTATAGGGGTTAATATGCTAATCCCAAATTTATTACGTTATATCGGTCGTTTAATGAGGGTTGGGTTTCGGCTCAATTCGGCCTAATTATCTGAGAACTGTCGGCCCTTTAACCCAATCTAATAGGATGGCATGCGGTTCGTCCATCCTACGTTTTCCTTCTCTGCTTACAAATAGGAGCGGGCGAAGGGGTTGAATCCTTACCTGCTGTCGAAGCTGCTTCCGGAGAGGAGAAAGTCGATTGGAGCAGCGACAGAGATTTGGGAGTTCCCAAGAGATGAGGGCGAAGGTAAATATTTGATATTTCCCTCTGTTTATTCTGCTTTAATTGTTCCTTCGCTTGCGATTGTTTTGTTTCTTAAGGCATATTAGCTTCTTATTTTCTTTTTAGCGGTTCAAATCGTAATAGAGTAGCATCGTTTGGCGATTCGATAGCAGGCTGTCAAGAGTTCCCTTTGATCTTTTAGTGTTTGGGATTGCGACGAGATTCTATACAATGATTGGTTTCCCCTTGTTCTCTCTTTTCCTCATTGGTTAAACGCATCATTGTTTACGTGGTTAGATCTTGTGTTTCTATTGCTAACAAAACTCCATGTACCATATGATGAAGAGACTCATCCCTTGCCCATCTCATGTCTAAGTTGAGCCAGCATAAGAATCATCAAATCCGTACCGAACACACACAAAGTTGTTGTCTTAGTGCGTATTTGTCGGTTAGGTTGTACCTAAACCTAAACGTTATTTAGCGGGACCTTTTCTTATGACTTCCAATCTGAATGTTTTTCTTTTAATAGGATCATATATTTATCCATTTTATCATCGTTTTGTATCAGCATAACTAATCTAACTAAGCCAATGTAAGCTAGGCAGATGCACTTTGTGCTGATAAGATTTGTTCTTGAATATATACTTTAGGTTTTGCTGTGGTTTTGTTAATTGAGTATTAATTTAGTTGATACTTAATAGCTTGGAATTTGATTGTATTTTTTGTTGAACTAAATTGCGGATGCCACGCAAAGTTTCACCTCTATCATTAACCTCTCTCACTACATGTCTTTGTCGCTTTAGTGTAATATTTATTTGTATTAGTTTATAATATTGTCTTGTCAGGTTAGGAGGAGGAGTAGGAGAACGAGGGGAGTGATCGAAGTGATGAACCTTCTTGATTTTTTTTTATATGGATGAAAATTTGTATGGATCAGATAACTTTTCATTTTTCCTGGTATTTAATTCTTCCTGCTAAACCTTATTTTTGGGTTTCTCTGTTTTCGATAGAGGTATTCACAAGGTTATTGGTTATAAACGGCATGGCATTGGCCATGACCAGTTAATTGGTGTAAGAGCTTCTATAGGAACATATATGTTCTATATAAATTTATAGGGATAAATAAACTATTTCCGAATTTTGTAAGAATAGATGTGTAAATTAACTTATTGATAGGGTTATCAATAATAATTGAGAATATAACAATCAAAGGCATTTGCCCATTGCTGGTATGTAGAGATTAGGAATCTGTCTCGACCTATCCAAGTTTATTAGTCAATACCTGGCTTACAGGCCCATTCAACCAGGATGGGTCTGCCCATCTTACGATTTACAAATTTTTGTTTGTCAAAATGACTAAAATACTATTAGGGTATGCTTTCTTCTCAGGTGATAAATAGGAGTGCATAAGCTTGGTTTCACATTACCCGGACTCAAAGCTGCTCCAGGTGAATAGAGGGAGGGGGATCAGGAGTTCTGAAGAGATTAGGGCGAAGGTAAAGAAAGATCTTGTCCTTGGTCATTTGCCTTCTGATTGTCCGTGGTGATTTTGTTGTTTTGGGGTTTAGATCAGTTTTTTTTTCTTATGTTGTGGATCAAGGGAGAAAAGAACTTTTATATCTTGAAAAATTTGAGTCTTGTAGATTGTTTTTGAAGGGCATACTTTAGACATTTTCATGTTTACCTTGAATGGATCACACCTCTATTCCCTAGATGATGGCCATGGTGTGTGTGTGTGTGTGTGGGTTTTTGTGAGACCTGTCAAGATGCTTATAATTTTTGGAGGAATAAAAAAAAATGAAGATTTTCAGTTCAAGTGCTATGCTGCAGCAGATATTAATTTGTTAGAGTAGATCATTTTGGTGCTTCTTTGTGGTTTTCTTCTAATTGGCCATCCTAGTTGATGATGAATCTCTTGTTATATTTTCATGCTCGAAAAGTGAAATATATTGTTCTAATCCATTTAGTTTGTATTTTAAGAACCATTTCGTGTGCACATTGCTTCTAGCAGACATTGTTGCCAGAGTGGAACTCTTTTGTGTTTGCCATCTTGGTTAAAGATCCTCCTGTTATTTCTGACCGGAGTGGAACACTTACAGACTGGAAACCATTTTGCGAGAGTGGAACATTTTTGTGTTTGCCATCCTGGTTAAATATCCTCCTGTTATTTTTGACATAGAGTGAAAGATGAAATACTTGATTCTTATCTATTTAGTTTGTATTTAAAGAATGGTTGAGTTATTCATACTATTCTGCTATATTGATGAAAACTCTACCTAATTCAATTATGTTCCACACCTTTGTGTTATACCCGTGGAAATGTTATTTGATTGGTGATTCAAGTCAGATTCATATCATAAATATCTGTATTTGACCATGCCTGTCTGCAGCAAAATTGACACAAAGTAGACAATTATAGCAATGAGTTGCATGAGGTTTTCAAGGCGAATCAGCATCACTAACAGGGCTGCTCAATTGGTGGGTGTGAGAGGGTTCGCAATAGCTAGTGGCAAGGGAAAGAAGGGCCCGAAAGGTGGCGCTAATGATGCGCCTAAAGCTTCACTTATGAGCCATGAAGTAAAGAGCACAACAGTCGTTGGAGCCAATATCCTCAAGGATGGTACTGATCCGAAGATAATGCCCGATTCTGAGTACCCAGACTGGCTGTGGCGCTTGCTAGACAAACGCCCAACGCTGAGTGAACTGCAGCGGAAGGACTCGGAATCTCTCCCATTTGAAGACCTTAAACGCTTCGTGAAGCTGGATAACCGTGCCCGAATCGAGGGAAACAATGCTGCCAGAGCTAAAAATTGAAGTTTATACTAGGATGTTGCCATTGTTGGCTGTTTTCTGCAGTGTAATCCCGTTATGTTTAGAAATGTCATTTGTTAAGCTTCACTCTGCGGTATAATCCAGTTTGTAGTGGTTTCTCATGACATTGTCATGATGCAACTAAATTATTTTCCATGGAATTTATACTCTGAGAAGGCAGAATCACTTGTATTGTGTGTGTGTGTGTGTTAGGTTCCAAAGGGGCCATAAATATTCAGCTTCTTAATTGTCATATCAAAGAATATTAGGTATTGCTTGTTACCATCAAGATTACACTTAATGGTGGGTGGAACAAGTGATTTGCTTTTTTTTTTTTGTGGGGGGTATGAATTTGGATCAATCTTCAATGTTCCATCAGAATGCGTTTTTACTTTTTGTAGTTTCATGGTTATGCTCAAGTTGCTTTCATATGGTATTTTTTTCACCTGGTTTACCATTCAACATTTGTTGTTACTACTTTGCTATCTAAGAAAAAAGAACTTTGAGATGTATAATTCCCTTTGGGATGACTTATGTGTGGAATAGACAGACAGGTGGATTTACTCCCTGTATCAAGTTAATTAGACTCACTAATCTTACAGAAAACCTTGTTTCAGTGTTATGTGACAATGATTTAGCTGTTTTGTCTTGAAAAAAAAATCGATTTCGCTGTTTTGCCTTGAAAAGAAAATTGATTTAACTTCACATTATCTTGCAGTGGAAGAAGAAACGCATGAGGAGGCTCAAGAGGAAACGCCGAAAGATGAGGCAGAGGTCAAAGTAGGCATGTATGGCTGCACAGCATCTCAGTTTTGAAGGTGATTGATTCTGATTCCGTTTTCCGCATGATGGTGGGTAGGGTGTATTCAATCGAGGCAACACAGTATCTGATACTTTGTTAAACATACAGTTTCAGGAACTCAATACTTTGTTTAGGAAGTTGATACTTGGTGATTTACATTCAACAGTGGTGTTTTTGTTCGACACAGTATCTGAAATTAATCATGCTCTTTGTCTTGTTGAATTGGCCTTTTTCATAGTGGTTTTATTTATGTCTGTGTAAGAGTAGAGTACCACTAACAGGGGTTGCTTCTTGGAAAATAGTTAATATGCTTTCTGATGATATTTTTTGTTCCTGGTTTTGTCAAGTGATCGTTCAACTGTTTTGGAATGAGTTCAGGGCAACAATTTGAGTTAGGAATTGTATGGTTATGATGATGTGTTTTAACTCATAGCAGATTGAAGAATTTGGTGAAGAGCAAAGCATGCAAACAGTTCTACACTAAATGCTTGCATGAGCAAAAAAAAAAAAAAAAATTAGTGATTCTTGTAGGAGAACTTTTCAAATGGTCTATTAGCATCATATTCGGTAATGATTAGTCTATAATCGATTTATATTTGTAAAGATTTATTTTTTAACCAGCTTATTAAGCTCGTTTGGTCTAAATCATTCATCAAAATGTTTAAGCTGAAATTGATAATAGTACACTCATCAGACTCTTATAAGACAATCTTAATCCTGTCCACTTTTGATGTGGAACTAATCAGGGATATTACATTTGTTCACTTCAATTCCAATCAGATGAAAATAAGCTTTGATATGAATACATTATGTATGTTATACATGTTGAATATATGTTTTTTTTTTTTTTTTTTTAATTTCATCATGAATCGTATATGTTAATCGACAAACATATTGTGTTGCATGTCATATTCATCTTATCATCGTCTTATTTAAATTAATTTATATATTTATTTTAATTATATAACTTCACATTTTTTCCTTGCTTAATTCGAGATTAGGTACGTCTAATCGACATGCCATGTGTTTTATAATTATATTTACAAAAGAATTCCTCCTTTTTATTCTTGTCTTCCTCTTCTTCTTTTTTTTTTTTTTTTTTTCTCTTTCTTCCTCTTTCTTTCTTTCGTTCTTTTTCTCCTTATTTTTCTACTCTTCTCAATGGGAATGATGACAACTTTCCTAATCAATGATGATATTACTCAAATACCCATTTTATAACTCGATTTTATTTAGAAAATAAAGATTTACCTGTAATTAGCATATATATATATATATACATACATATATACATATAAATATATATAAAAATATATATATATATATACATACATACATACATATATATATATATATATATATATATATATATATTTATAGAAATATATATATATGATAACTACGCCCATCTAGTCAACTACTCGAAATAGTTGGCCAAAATAAAATTATTATTATTTACTCCTTGCAATGTTGTCATGGAATCAAGCAGCATTTATTTGCGACACATGATAACATGAACACCGCTACATAATTAACTGTTCATTTAATCTCATCACCACGAGTTACTTTGAAGCTTCACGTCTATAAATACGTAGGTGGCCTCGCCACAGTTACCGCCTCTCTATGACTTACGTCTCCTCTCCCCTCTCTGTTGCGCTGTTCGCTGCAGGACTCGCAGAGAAAATAGACGTCGGGATGGCTGCGGAGGTGAGCTCCTTGGCGACAACCCTCGGGGCATACGAGGACGACGCGGAAGGAGAGAGCGAGCTCGTCACCCGGGACTTGCTTGGCGGCGGCGGCGGCGGAGCCGGCGACGTGGATCTCCAGCTCCATGTCCCCGCCGGCTGGCCGACCCGCATCGACCTCCCGGTACGTGTCGCTGCTCGTAGCTCAATTCACTGTTCGTCGCGTCGCTTGTTGGAATTCCAATCTGATCTGGCCTTCATTGATTCCAAGATTTAGGTTCTCCTTTTTTCCCCTCTTTGGTTCGTTTCGTTGAATCGATTGTCGTCGGTGCGGATTGCTGTGGTCCTTCGAGTCCGAAGCACCAAGGATTCTCTTCCTTTTGACCCCCAAAAGAACGATTCTGTGGATCGTACATCCGCATCCATTTTATCTCGTACTGGATCTCCTATTCCCCGCCGATGCCGCGCCCTAATTATTTAGTTGTCGCTCGCGCTTTCGATGCATATTTAATTGTAATAAAAGGTTCTGTTTTTGGTCTTTCGATCGGTCAAAGAAGCTGTTTCGATGAGAAAGAATCCTTTTTTTCCCCATGAACTCATGTCGAAGTCGCCGATTTGAGTCGTCCTAGTTCATTCTTGCTTTGATTCGACTAAGAGCATCTCGATTCCCATGGTTGCAGTCCGGGAAGGCGAGCCTCGAACAGCGGGACCCCGATCCCGCTCCCCGCCATCTGCACGACCTTAACCTGTCGCCGCCGTCGCCGTCCGTCGCCTCTCTCGCCCTCGAGCTGGCGTCACCCTCCGCCGAGTACCAGAGCGTCTGCACCCTGGAGAAGGTCAAGTCGGCGCTGGAGCGGGAGTCGCGCCTCGTCGCCACCACCGGCCCCGCGTCCCCGCCCCCCTCTTCCACCACCTCCTCCTCCTCCTCCTCCTCCGCCGTCTCGACCAAGCGTCGGGCGCCGACCTCGCCGGACGAGGACGGCGCCGCGGGAAGCACCATGGCGGTGGCCACCTGCCCGGTGTGCCTCCTCTACGTGCTCGTCTCCAAGGCGGAGCCCAGGTGCCCCAGGTGCGCGGCGCATGTGCCGGTGAACGACCTCCTCAAGAAGAAGCCGCGCATCGACCTCAACTCCTCCCTCCCATCCCACTGAAACCTGCACAGAAGCGAGAACAATACCCAAATCTTCGATTCCCGAGCGTAGAAGACGATTACTACTACAAGGGTCAAAAAAACGAAGAAAGGCCTCTCCATTTTTGGCGACTGTAAGAATTTGTTCTCGGTTCATGGTGTTCCACCGTGAGATGAGATCATCGTGCAGCAGTTTGTTCTGCCCTTTCTCTGGGCATTAAACCTGCCATTAAATTTTGGGGGTTCAAATCTCACTTGTCACAGGATGCTCTCTTCTTCTTGATGCAACCCTTCACCGGTGATTTGCGTGGTTGGTGGTGTTTGCACATAGCCATGCGGGTGCGGAGACTGTACAGCGGAAGCCTTAATGGAGGCCTCCGAAAGGACTCGTAGCAATCACAAGGAATGGGACAGACTACTGAAACCAACTAAATAATTGAATGGGACTTTCCCTGCAATAATTTTAATGCAGTAAATATATATCTTAAACACAAATTAATATTTGAAAATAATTATTTATATTAATATTTTTCTTGCTTTTTTTAATTGGTGAAAAGGGATGTCGTCGTCTGCCGTCAGCTCAACTTAAAAAGACTGTTGCATACTCCGTCTGTAATAAATGACGGGTGTCCCTATCCGACATTTAATGCAGCAAGAAGGGCGCCTGATCGTGACACGTGGTGCGTCAATTAATGCAGCCATTTGTTCTCTTGCCGCGCGTGAGTAGCTGACGCCACGAAAACGAATCGGGCCCCACTCGCCATCAATAAAGAACGGTCAAAACCAAACCAAGCGGGCCCACTAAAATGACAGTTGGGTGTGTCATAAGATTATATATTAGTTTTCCTTGGGATGTACCTCTCTCTCTCTCTCTCTCTCTCTCTCTCTTTCTGTGTGCCAAAAATAAAATATTACTCTTCGGTTTGATAAAAGCAACAACGTGCCACAATGTATCTACGACCATGGAATTATTTTATTAAAATTAATATATATAATTTCAGACAAATTCTCAATTTTTTAATAAAATATAAAGATAAATAAGGAAGATGAGATACAACCAAGTTTTATTTCTTACCATATAATATCTCTATTTTTTAAAATTTCAACATTATCTCTTTATATTTTTAGCTTTTTTCTTTTTTATTTTTTATTTTTTAAAAGCACCATATTTTTAATTTTTTTTTCAAATGGTATCTCTATTTTGAGTAAAACTAAAAATATCCCTTACTAGCCCTAAGATATTAATTATTCCATCTAATTTTGGTTCAAGTGAATGTTATAATTTGTTTCGCCTATTTTCATATTTTGACTATCGTAATAAAAATACTATAATATCTATTTAAAATATTATAAATAATAATATGAAATCACTTACATGTTTTTTTAGTAGTTTTATAGTATTTTCAATATCTTTGCACCCTAATGATATTTTTGATATTATTTAAAATAGAAGATCATTTGAATAAAAAAAAATGAGGACATCTTTCGGAAAAAAATGATAATAAAAATAATAAGGGCACTATTGAGTATCTTTTGAATTTTATGTTGATATATATTCAGCAACAATACCAATCAAATAGTAAATCTTAATTATTTAAGATGGAGAATCTTTTATCACTATTAAATATATTGATATATATTCTAAATATAAATATCAAACATTCAAAGCAAACCCACATCTACACCCTTAGGATGTGTGGATATGTACAGATCCAAAGCACCTAACATCCATTAAAACCTGACCCCTCCTTGAAACGGCCCAACCCAACCTTAGAGAGAGAGAGATCGATTGAGAGAGAGATTTCAATAGGAGTCGCATAAACTGATCAAAATGCAATTATTGTTTTTAGGGCTACAACAAATTTACAAGTGTCTACGAACATCTAAACAATCTTTCTTAGATCCTTCGGGTCGTCCGAAGCGGATTCAAGAAAACATTGTGGATCTGCTCGTCTTCTGCTAACTTGTATGGTTGACTACAAGCATCGTGTCAGGAACAGGCAGGTGATGAGATGGTCAGCTCCAAGTTTACGTGCTTCTTTGCTGCACTTGATCCCCGGTCGCCCGTGTCTGCCAAGCTTCTCTGATTCCGGTAGGCAAAAGACGATAAGCTCGGCTCGCGGTTGGTCTCCTTCGGCGGCGATCGCTGAGAATAAGCGAGCTGGAGTAGCTGCAACGACGAAGGAAGAGTGGGATCGACCGCTTGTGATCAGGACAATGTAATGTGATGATGAGGGTGTCAAACCTGGCTGTTGTCTTCGGTCAACGTGTCTCTTGGAAAGATGGAGGCCATGTTCTTTGCTGCCCAGTCTCTCAGCAGCTCCTCAAACGTCGGCCTGCAATCCAGAGTCGACGCTTTAGAGGTAGAAGAAGATGTCTGCTGCAAGAAAGACACTGAGAGAGAAAGAAGTGAAGGAGCCGGACACCCACGTACGATTGAATTGAACGGGTGAGACCGAGGTGTGCGTCCGCTCTCTGCTTCGGCAGACTGTAAGCCATGAGGACGTCGTGCCGCGGTGCTTCCCGTTGCGTGCTTCGGTTCTTCTCGCAGTGGGTGCTCGTGCTTCTGTACATCTGTTACCAGAAGAAGAAGAAGCAAGAGAGGCATCAGAAGGCATGTGTGAATCCGAAACATGCAGCCTTGACTTTGAGATATGACTCACATTTGTCTTTCACCATTCACACACCCAACTTCTATCTTACCTTTGGAATTGATATGGAACATTAAAAAAGCTGTGACCAAACATTTGTTTCTTCCGATCATTTGACTATTCTATTACTGATGGATATATGTGACAGATGTTGTAAGATGAAGATTGGAAGAATTGGAGTGTGCAGAAGAAGTAAACAATCATTACTGTTTTCTCATGGAAAAGGATTGGAACAAATTACCTGCAGATGGCTTTTGACATGAGATATGCTTATTCCTTTTACGCCCATTAACTGTTGAATTCTCTTTGGAGTTGCTTCTGCAGGAATGTATGTACGTAAACAAGAAAGATTTAGTCTGTTTGCACATTTCGAAGAAGAAGAAGAAGGAAAACAGAGTCTTCCGATGTGCTCGTGAGAGAAAGCAGTCATTGGCGACTTACCCGTTTCTCCTCCGAGGCAATCGACTGCTTCGACAAAGCACCGATGCAGCTCCTCCGTCCATCGCATGCGAGGAGCGTCGGTTCTGTTGTACTGCCTCACCCTTCTTCCCAAGAATCTCATGCCTTGATCCGTACTCCTCCTTCCCGAGGTATCTTGATATCTTGGCCGAGCCGATGAAGTTGTTTATGTAGGAGGGAGGCTTCTGAACTTTACGACAGGACTCGGTCAAACATTCCCAAAGCCCTCCAAAGAGGTAGAAGGAATGCCCTGCGGTTCGAGAAAAGAACAGCAACGACAGTACAATACCATGTCCTTTTGAATATGGAGACGAAGCTTAGCATTGCTGTCAGGACTCAAAGAGCCACCAGCCATGTAAGAGAAACTGTCAATGGTTGAATGATTCCACAGACCTCGTTCCCACGAATGCGTTGAATGGCATCGCTCCCTCCCTATTCATGGATGCGTAAAGCATCGGTTTCCACATGAAGCACTGTAGCACAGGGCAGATGGATCGCGGAGGTCCAAGAATACTTTTTTCTCTTCCCTCTTCTGGATCATGTTTCCGTACAGAAACAGATCTTTTGGTACGGTGCGACGACTAGGAATGGTGCGTCTTCGTCGTGCTTGTTTCATGGCTCGAAGCTGATGGATTACTTTATGCAGCTTGTGGTTGACATGAAAGCCTTGCGGGAGTGAAATGCTGACAAAGGATGCCGCCTTTGGCTCACTTGTCCACGACAACAGAGAGAAGGTTTGTGAGAGAAGCAAACAGCACGGCGGCGTCGTCAACGATAGCCATCTCAATCGAGAACGACTTAGAGATCATTCTCAGGCACCAACCCAGCAAAGATGAGGATCCAATCAACATGGTCAGAGCCAATTCTCAATCACACCAAAGATCTTCTCTCTCCTCTCTCTTTTTCCTACTTTTTATCTAGAAAAATTATCTGATTTAGACATCGGAAGGATCGAGTTGAATCCACTTAGATCTTCGCTTATGAGGTTAAAATTTTCCGAAATGCATATCTCACCTTTTCGGATCCTATCAACCGTCTTTTCTTCCTCCACCATTAATCAAAATACTTGTCGAGGATAATTGTTACCCTCTAAAACTAGATCGAATTATCTCTGTAATTCACATGACTTTCGGATATCGTTAAGAGGTCATGGATATGTATAAACAACAATTAAAAACTGAGATAGAACAAAGGAAATCACTGCTGAACTCCATTGAATGAATTGGAGAAGAGATAGACTTCCATTAGAGAGGTTCTTCACGCTTCACCGATCTCTAAATAGTGTTCAACCACCTTTTTGTTGGCTTATGATTTGACTCACATAACAATAACTATGGGAGAAACCCAAAGCCGAAAAGCTTACCCATCAACCTCGAGATATGACTTTTACACATTAATTCCTCCGATCTATCCAATGAGTTCATTCCATGTAATCCAAAGACGGTGCCTACTTTTGAACTTGTTTCGTTTGCTTGCTTGCCGTGTCTGAACCAATCAACTTGTCATTAAGCGAAGGAGAATTAGTAGGACATCAAACCAACACATTCTTCGCACCACCAAAAGACCAATAAGAAAAGCAGCACAGCTGCTTCCTGAGCTTTTGGGTCAACAATGTGAGTTAGAAGGATACGAATTAGTTCGATTCAAACAATCCAATAAAAAAAAAGGTCAGAAAATTCAACTCCTATTTGTCCCAAAGATTGGAAGGTTGAATAATCCTTTTTATAGCCACAACCAAAGGATATGAGACTTCAAAGAAAAAAAACAAAAAGATCTGATTGCATCAGAACTTTCAGTACTATCTAACTTGTAAAGACTATAAATCATCATAACGTATGAATATACTCGACATTTATCAGTTTAAGCTTTAAGCTTTTGTCTGAGATAAAAATGGTTGTGTGTGATGTATCTTCAGAAGAAACAGTGCTAAGAAAATGCTGAAATAGAATTTGGCAAGAGAATATTTGTAGAACGTCGTGAGGCTTCGAATTGGTCACTCGATATCAACTTAATTAAAAGGAAAAGAAAAGAGAATTATAATTAGTTGATGAGAGTGGATCATCTTCAATCAGGCATTGTCAATGAGACTGCAGTGAATGACCTTAGAGAAGCTTGGCTTTAGCTTTGCGTCGACTTCATTGTACTGTCGAGTTGCTTCCTTCCTCTGTTTGACTTCAGAGGAAGGATCTCTTGAAACTGAATGAATCAAGAAGGATTGTCAGAACTTTATTCAGAGAATTATCTTATAGATTTTGTACTTATTCTTCTTACTCGATTGGATTGACTTGTGCTCTAAAAACTTGTTCTTGTTGTTATATACTGTCACTACTTGTACTTTTGGTCTTTTCTCTCCTTGTTCCTTTGTATAAACTCCCCTTCTACAAATGAATATTTCTCATCTTTTATGTCAAGAACAAAAACAACATGATTTTTGTTGAAATGTAGGAGAATAGAAAGACAGCTGAAGCCCAACTCTTTTCTCTTTGGTAAGAGTCTTGAAAGCAATGATCAGAGACAGCAATCTAGTGCAAATGTGGAGACTTACATGCTACCTTTTATGACCCAACTACTCCAGGAAAATGGTGTAAATGTGGTTGACTTTTGGCTGCAAAGCATACAAGTAGATAATTTGACTTTTGCTAATGAAAATATCTTGGAACACTGCTCACCATGTCAACCTAAACCTACATTACATGCATACAATTCTGTGATTAGTGAAACTAATCCTCTATAAAAAATTTATAATCAACCATCTTAAATGTGTTTCTAGAAATCTTTGTTGATCGTAAATTTTATTTTGTATTCCGAAAGACCTCGAAGAAGCGTTTTCAAATTAGTCTAAAGATTAAATAGTTGACTCATAAAATATTCTAATAAAAAATTGATCAACAGTCAAGTCAAGATAGACGGCATAATCACGGGTTCATTGTCAAAATAAAAATTTAAATCTCTAAAAAAATTTAAAAATAAAATTCAGATTTAATGAACGATGATCGACCTTCAAGTATACGAGACAATTCTGATTATGACAAAATTAATTAATTATTTTATCGAATGGTTCCCATGAGTTGGGCATGGATACACTAATTATTGCTATCCAATCTTACCTTTTTTAAGACAAAAATTCGATTTAAATCTTAATTGTATTACACATTCTATTAAGATAACATTAAAAGCGCAACGTTTCAATTTCCATAATACGTTCTGTAATATTCAACTTTATATTTAAAAGCATAATATGTATATATATATATATATATATATATATATAATGATAAAAATATTAGCAAATAGGGGCATGTAATAAAATATATTAATCTAACTCGGTCCTGAATGAAGAGAATGCCGTGGTGGACCGGTTGATTAGACCGGTCCAGATTTGGAAGCAAATCGGTCCGGTTTTCTCTCTCTCTCAATTTTCCCGTTTCCCTCTTAGAAGACCGATTTAAATTTCGAAATCCACTCCCATTCTTCCTCAAATTCCCGTTTCCGGTCGAAACGAAAGCCCTCGACGACGGACGAGAAGAAAGAAGGCGATTGCGAACTCTGATCGCGCAGGGTTTCCGAGGAGTCTCCCGTCATCTCCCTCGATTGCTCCACCCCATGAAGCGCTCCAAGTTCCGCGTCATCGAACAGGTCCTGGGGTTCTTCGAATCCGTGCTGATGAGTTGCTTCTTCGGTTGCTTTCGGATCAAAGATGATGCTCGGAGGAAGACCGATTCATGCGCCAATTCGATCTCCTCCGAGGACAGGGTATGAGATGCTTGTCCGTTCTTTGTTTGTTCGAATCATGTGTCTTTCACTGGTATTTATGGGGTGTTATTATGTGATCTATTAGGTTTCTTTGGTATCAACAAAGGAGCTTGCGTCTGATTCCTTGTTTCGAGGTAAATGTCTGATCCTTGAAAGGAAAGATAGTTATTTTGAATGGTTTGTGGCTTGAATCTCGACTTTAACTTCTCTAACAAATCCTGAACTTTCTCGGTCAGAGCAAGAAGCATATTCGTGTGTCGTGGAGAATATTGAAGAAAGTAGCTTTCAGAAGGATCTTGAGATTCAGGTGTGCAACTGCGATCCCGTTTGTTCTTGAATAGGATTTGTTGCATCGAATCTGCTCACTTTAGACTGATATTGCCATCATGGATTGCATGTGTGGATGAAGCAGCAAGTCTTGTTTACCATGTCACTAGGCATCAATTTTGCTAGTTTAGTTCAATCACGTACTGATATGAACGCCTCGTGCATGCTTTGGATAGTTGAATTTATTAATTGATTACAATATTATGATTACTTTTACGTATAATTCATGTAAACCAACTACTCTACTTGTACTCTGTTCTTATTAAGAAATGTATTTCATGGCCTTCATGTCGGATTTATTATTGAGGATAATGTTACAAAGCCCTGGGTTTCCTTGCATTTGAGTCTTTAACTTGTTATGTTATGTTAACCCTATCATATGCATTTGGGTCTTAACTTGTTTTGCTTGATAATTGGCTAAATATCATATTCTTATTGCTTTGATTTATACAACAATCATTTAGTTTTTCAAGTTAACTGAAGAATGACACTATTTTTTTGATGAATTATTGCCAGGCTAAATTTCTAAAGAATTGTGGTGCACTATCAAAAATTCCTGAAGAAATACTGAGAACGCCAAACAAAATATTTTCTCAGGCATCTAAGGATGATTCGTCTCTTAATTTCCCCTTGCGACTTCCTGGATTATACGGAATGGATGATAATTTGGACGAACAGAGTGATCCAAGAGCGCACAGCGTGGAGAAACTGGACGATAGTTTTGGACTGTCAGAAAATGAATTTGAAGGGTAAAAATTTTTCTTCCCTTCTTATAGGTTTAAATATCTACAAGTTCTATTATTTATTTAATTTTAACCTTTAGTGCTGATGATTATACTTTTGAATGTTATGTAGCTCTATCTTAGAGGAACAAGAGACAGTAAGGAAGGTTCTGCAATTTGATGTGAATAAGCGTCTATCTCAAGTAGATCCTGCGCCGGATCTTGTTAATTTGGATATTTCTCCTTCTCGTGGTGATAGCAAGCCTCAAAGGGTTGATTCTAGTGATTCACCTTATCCTACTCCATTGAATTTAACCAATGAAATGCAGACCCCTGGAACAGTTTATCCAGTGAATCTGGATAGTCTTAGAACCGGAAAGCACACCAGGATCCGCACGCAATATGTATATCCTGTTTTGAAGCCTGTGGAGAATTTGCCTCAGTGGGATGCACTGAGACGAGGCTCTTGCCAGCATGTTCAGTCGGATGATTCCTTTGAGCAGCAGTTGAGTTCCAGAACAGATAGTGTAGAGAGAAGAAACAAGGTTTTCCTGACTCCAGCTCGTCAGGATTCACAGTTTATCAATTCATGGTTGCTATCTTCCCGTGGAAAGAAAAATCAAGATGGAGACAGAATCTTTACAGAGAAATCTGTTGACAAGATAATGCCACCTGACTTGACACTAATTTCAAGTGGCAGAGATCGAGTAGACGTTGAACCAGATACTCCAGAGCTCATAATCTCAAGCTTATCTCGGTGGCTGAAGCCGAAGCCTCTTAAAAATAGGAATTTTGATGTTACTGCCTTCATTTCTAATGAACAGTCTTGTCCTGTGATGAATTTTGATGCTGAGAGGCCTATAATCGGAACTGTTGCTGCACATTGGACTGACGACGATGCCTGTTCTAATTCCCATGGGCATTGGAATGGTAATGGAATTCCAAATTCAACAACCAAGTATAAGGAGGTACTTATTCTTTAGTTTTGTTTTACAACAAGTGCTTCGTTGTGATGAAGGTTTAAAATAAATTCTGTTCTCATTATTAGGATCAGCGAGTTAGTTGGCATGCGACGCCTTTCGAAGAAAGATTAGATAAGGTTTTATCTGATGAGAAGCTTTTGCCTCAAAGGTATATTACACCATATGTAATTCAAGCCATCTGTTTGTTTTATTTAGTTTTTCTAATCGCATGCTTATGGTTTTCAGGAAGCTTCTATATAGGGAACCAATAGAGTCAGAGGACTAGTACTGTGGCAACCTAAGAAGATTGAGCATGCTATAGGAGTTTTGAGGAGTCCAATTGTCTTGCAAATTGATAACAGATTGTGGAATTGGGATAGCATATTCTTGCACTCATTCAGCACAACTGCTTGTTCAATCGAGTCTGGATTTACTTTTGTTGTATATTGACATCCTTCAAAAGCTTACTGGTCAGTCAACAAATGTTTACATCTTGGTATCAGGTTAACCTTATTGCTGTTATACTTGACTGCAGTACATCAGAAATTGATGCTGAAGATCTGTATAAACTTGGGCCAAGTTTTATTTTTTTAATTAAAGTTACCAAAATATTTCTGAATTAGGCTTTTCTAATGTTTCTTGATTTCTCAAGTTAATTTTAAATTCAGATTCTGAGGTTTTGAGTGCAAATACGGACAGATTCACTCCATATTGATTCGATTACTTGTGTGTGGTTTTCCATTCGTCTTCAGTACAATATGGAATTATGCTGTTGGAAGGATTCTGATGGCTTACAGTGTATCAAATCTTTGTTCCTGTAGTTATACCCAAGTAGATTGCATGTTGCTCATACTATACACATGCTTCTAGTCTTTTTTTAATTTTAAATCAGCTTGATCATTCATCAGGCAATCCAATCTAAAATTGTTTTAATGTATCCATAGCTTTTGATGATGATATTAACAAGTTTTGCATGAAACAGTGTTCTGTAACTGCTCAGGCATGCTTTGTTTCTTCATGATTAATTAGCTTTTAGGCTAATTGAAGTTGGGTGATTACACATCAAATAATGGATTAAGAAAAATGGTTGACATTTTTTCAATGCCAAATAATAAATTCATATAGGATACTCTATATATACTTGAATGAGATTTTTGCTTCGGTGAAGCTACGAGAATTATTGAGATAATTGTCCTACCCAATTGATATCGATGCTTGTATGAAGGTAAAGTTTGTTGTTTGACATGTTGTTAGCTGTAGGGAAACATGAACAGGCCTTGCTAGGTACCACTTCTTAAAAATCTGCAGTCTGTGCAGATATGTTGGTTCATGAATGAAGATTCTTTTCCTTTTTCATTTCTTTCTTCTCTTGCTTTATGTGCTATGAAGGGTTGTAAATTTGGAATTGGATTCATTTTTAAACTTAATCATGTAACAAGGTCATGAACCAGCACTTGATGTATACCAGACCTAAATCTGCAGTTTGTGCAAATGGCTTGAATTCTGGTTGAATATTTTCTTTTTGTTTCTCTTGCTCAATATGTTCTGTTTCAAGATGTAGCCTCAGAGAATGCAAATTCTGAATTGTTCAGATAGCTACTCTCTTGTCATTCTTTCACTTGCTGTGGTGTTCAATATCTTAGCAGGAACAGAAGCATTACCTGCAACCTGCATGCTTGAAATTGGATAGCACTCACCATGTATCATGGCACCAGAAGGATTTTTGCCTCTCAGCACAGATCTTGCCATTGAAGCACATACTGTAATAGTTAGACATATATTTATATTACTGTGAAGATAGTACAAATTGAGACTCTTGTCAAGCCACAAAATGCCCATTGTAATGCAATTATGTGACCAGGTTACAAAGTTTCTGCATTGATAAATTACCTTTTAGAGTGATCAGATCAATGAAACTAAATGTCAAAATTTTATTTTCCAGCATATGGTGAGATATACAGAAATGAAACTATGACAAATATCATACAAGGGGTCTTTGAAATATGAGCATCACATGGTCAAACATTGGCCTTAATGAAGTAAGCCTTTGCCAGAACTACCCAGCTAGAGATAACAAGGATGAGAATCCAATGAACTCTCACCACTCCAAATCCAACAAAACCTCAAACATGGTGGAACACAACATATCCTATAAGCCTTAGGTTAGCAAAGGGGTTGGAAGAGGTGAAGTCCCCAAGTCCTTGTCCACAAAACTCAGCCATAGGAAGGATTCATTTGGCTACAGTACAAAGGGCAGCCATGTGCCTCTCTCTCTCTATTGATCATATGCAGAGGCATGTGGTCCCTCTTTTGAGGGCTTTGCCCATGTCTCTAATGGCTGTCATCTGCATGACACTGGAACCACCCTTGGGAAAAGACAAGCCTACATTAATCCATGCACAAGACACTAAGCTAATTGGCATTTGGAGCTTCGATGCTGTCACTGACATTGTTATCTCAATGTCTTTAGGGGGTTCCTGTTAGAAGAAATCTTTCTTTTTGGACATTGGACATGCACAGATGGACTGTTGTCCATAGGAACTGCTCAAGATAGATGACAAGCTGAACAGAGTATGTTTCAAGAGGGTTTGCATCCATAGATCAATAACAAGCACGACAAGAGCACAAACTAGTACACTATACCATATTTGCTGCTCTACTACTGTTGCTTCTGTCCAGCCAGTATACAAAGCCTTCATGATCATCTTCGATCGTGAGGTCCTCATGTTGTAATCATACGATGTTTGCCTGTGTAGGGGGGAGATGGAAGAACTTGTTTCGTTTCTCTTTTACTGCAAGCATTTAATGAAGTGAACATTACACAAGCCAAACAAGGACGATTTGCTTACATCAAATGAGAGATGCACTCAGACAGCCAAAGAGGTCCTCACATCTTTGCTCACGTAACTTTGTTTTGCATGATGTCCTCCCCGTCGATGTTGTTCTGTAGTTGCTGCTGCTGATGAAACCAACAAAACCATTCCATCAGCAATGGCTACTATTGCTGTAATTTCTAAAACAAGTTTTTGTTATGATGTTGTAGTTGTATCATCTCGAGGGAAGAACTTTTGTCTGTGTTATTGAGTTTTTGTCTCGAGTTCGGGTAACGCAGGATCGCGTTAGATCAGTGACGACCAGCGTAAAACTATGTCGGATTGAATATAAGAGGAGTGTCTGTCGATATCGTTGTTTTGTAGAGAGACCAGAGTCACTGTCACTAGCTGTAGGAAGGGACCGAAAGGCCACCAATAGATAGATACACTGAAGTAATATATTGCAAGAAGAGGGGGATTCTTGGTGACGAGGTGCATTTGTATGAGGATATAGAAGAGTCCTCTGGGCTGCAACCACCATGCATGGCTTGCGATGGAGCAGACTCTCTCATCTGCTTCCTACCTCTACCACCCTGTGGTGGTGGCATGTCAAAGCCCACACTTCTCTTTTTTCCCTCATCAATCTTCTCATTTTTGGTTCTCACACCCTCTTCTCCCCCCCAGTTCTTGCCTTATAATTCTCTTTGTTGGTGTGAGAGGTTGAAGCTGCCAGCATGATCTGGTCCAGAGTTGTTGTTTCATGGTTCAGACTTTAGAGCTCCCATAAGCATTAGCTGTAGGAAGATTACTCAGCCTGATCATGGTGATGGGATCAAAACCAGTAGATGTTAGATTAGCTTCCATTCCACCATGAGAGAGTGAGGAAGAAAGAGAAAGATGACCAGTTGGTTGGACTCCATCAGATCATCTGGCAGTTTCAATCACTCACTCACCAACAGAAGGTTTCACTTTCTGGTTCTCCTCATGACAGGCTGAATGCTTGCTCATAATTTGCAGAGAAAGCTCACAAAAGGTACAAACTATCTGCAAAAGTATTCTCAATCTTTTTCTTCTTTTGATTTCTTTTTACATACATAAAATCAAGCTGTTGATTTTTCCATCCTCACCATTCTCTGTCAGCAATGAATCATAATTGAAGTTAATATACAGTCAAGATTCATGCATGTATACACATTAGCAACAGATCCACCAAATCACATCTCTGATACAGACAGACTATAGGGTTGGATGAAAACTCTGTGCTCTGTTCCATGGTTTAGAGAATAGAAAAGGATGAGACAGAAGGCATATTAGTACACAGGTAAATTTTGGTGGTGTCCACTCATGCCCACATATGACAGAATGTAATGGACATGTATAAAAAATAACACCATTCCATATTGTTGAAATCTCATCACTGGTGTTTCAGAATTCTAGGCAGACACTATCATCACCATATCCATCAGTCTGCCCCCATCAGATTTTGACACCACATATATGTAGCTGTGAATTCATTACAATTTTATCGGGGGGGACGATATAATAATGATACATAAGACCTAAAGGTAAGGTATTTGAGTAGTATCAAGTGAACATTCATGTTTTAGTAGATCACACAAGTTTTACTCATTGTTAGAATGCAGATGAGTCTCTGCATACATGTAAATTATACTAAACAATCTTACAGATCCAATTTGGTGGTGAGAGAAGCTACTTTCATTGTTGTCAGCAAACTAAAATGCTATTGGACTCCATGACCATCAGCACTATCACACAGTGGTTGGAGCAGCATAAAGGGAGTAAGTGAATTACTGCTCACTTCAGTAATCATACACAGTTTTCTTGGCAATTGTTTTTGTGTTCAGCTTCTGAACCTGAAGAACAAGCAGAAGATTAATTCAGAATGTCTTGCCTAATAGTCCAAAATTGTGACTGTTATCCTAGCTGGCCTTCTAACCCCATTGTCTTCTCAATAAGATCATAAACTTTTGGTACCCAAAAGATTTGACATATGGTTGACCTCCCTGCTGACCCTGGCTTCTCAATGTATCAGCATAACAATCTGTAAGACACTCCTGATCCTTGTTTCTTTTCACTTGGGGAGTTCCAAGGACTTGGATCAGTGAGTAATCTCTCCTAGCATTCTCCAGGAAGAAAAGACAAATTGAAGGTCCTGATAGTGATCCAAATCCTTGTGTATCATGGTGTCTAAATATTTCGAAGAAACGCGGAAAAATATTGTTCTCCCAATGCAGCCAGTTTCAGTTTTTCAGTCTAGTTTGAGTCAGGTGAGGTAAGGATCGAGGTGATTAGGAGTGAGTTGGACTGGTTTGTGAAACTAATGTGTTCTTATATTTTTGCAGCAATCTTTAAATGAAGGAAATGGCTAATTAATCCAATACAAAATGGTTCATCTGAAGAAAGATTAGGCAATGCAGATGAAAATGAAGCAGACACATACATAATTAAAGCATGAGACAACAACCTTTTTCCTGGATACACAAAGATCTGCTGTTTGTTGTGTATGCTGCATATGCAGCAGCATTCTGCAAGAAAATATTAATGCTTATATTCCATTGGCAGACATTGCTGCATCAACTGTGGCAGTTCTACTGTTCCTCATAATGCTAGCAATTCATGTGTTTCTCAAAAGAAAAACAATCCATGTGCCTTTGTTTGCTGCTTCAGTTCCTTCCACAATGCCATGGTTTCCCTGTTGAAATCACACAGGTGGATTTATTCTGCACCTTTTTTTTCTAGTTATGGATAGTAAATAGGAAACCACAAAACCTAGAGAACAACATACTGCAAGGACATCCTGCTCATCAACCCCATCCCTACCAGATGAACTGATGAGCTTCCTCCACATCCACAACAATAAGCCAACTCAGAAGAACATCATTCTATTGCTCAAAAGAAAGCTCTGATTTCTTTTGCTACATTGGCAATTCACTGTGACTTAGTTATGATGATACTCGATCACACTTAACTTGGAATTATGTGTGTTAAGTGAAGGAAGAAAGAGAACAAAAATATAGAAGAAGACCAATAGATCTCAGTTTCTCATCCATGTTTTAAGCTTCTCATTGGGAACATGAGATCAATCTTGCAGAAGGGTCGGATGAACAAGAAAACAGAACTCTTTAACACCAACCAGAACAAGTTTCAGAATATTAGGAAGAAGGATGGTGAGGACACATGAATTCAGCTAAAAATTCAGGCCTGAATGAAATGTCAGCATCATGATGTCTCAAGAATGTCGTGTTCTTCTCCTTGGATACATGTTGGCAAAGAGCATGAAGGGACATGTGTGTGGTAGGAGTTGGTGCAACAGGTCTTGATAACACCACCAATTAGCCCTAAGCAAGCATGTGGTTTGCCCCTCCTTGCCTCACAAAGCCACTGCAACCCACAGACTCCTTTCGCTACCAAAAGATGTTGGTGTTTCATCTCAGAAACAAAAGCGTCTTCGTTTTTCTACTCACTCATCACTGATTGTTGCGGTTTGGTTTGGTTTGGTTTCCATCACCATAGCCTAAATGATTCGGACAGTCGTAATATGTTGCCAGTGGCTGCACATCTCCACCTTATCTTCGTCGTCTCCCACCCACCCATCCATCCATCTACCATCGGATGGCTGCTGCCCGTCTTCTCTTTTCCTTCCTTCCTCCTTCATCCTCTTCCTCTTCCTCTTCCTTCTAATCGATACTGGTCTGGTCTTGCTTACCATCATTACTGCAGCGTTCATCAGCTTCGGGTACCAACCTGCAGGATCTTGGCAAGCAAGATACAGAGATTACAGTGAGCATCACGCTGACACCAACCTGTGCGTTTCTAGATGCAAATTCAATGGTTCTTGTGATAAGCATCTGTCACAAGAACACACATAGTGTAGAGGATGATCACCAAGAGGCAAAGCACATTCAATGGCTCTGACAGGTGATAAAAAGAGTTTTCAGGATCATCCTATTGAATTGATGATGACGAGGAACTGAAGTGTTGAATGAAAAGAAGAAGTCTTCCTTCTTTCTTCTGCTTGATTAACAAAATCTTCAAAGATGGTCAACTCCAGATTACTTTACCTGTCGTGGGCTAATTCTTCCTTCCTTGTGTGTTCTTACTGGGCTACTACTATGTTCCCACTGCATCAACCAATCACAGTGCTTTTGATCTTAATCATTTTGATGTAAAATGTAACATGTATAGAGCATATATATATATATATATATGTAAAATGTAATCATAAAATGTAAGATATATATATATATATATATATATATATATATATATATATATATATATATATATATATATATATATGGAAAAAGTTGACCTTTTTATTTGGGATTTGGAAGAATAATATTCAGATTTTTTTTTGACATTTTTGTGATTAATTAAACAAAGAAAAAGAACAGAAAAAAAAGGAAGCCTTACGAAGCACAAACGAACAAAAGAAACGAGAATGCTTCCGCATTCAGATATTGTTGGAGACATTCTCGATCGTTCGTCTCTTATCACACGCTCTCTCGCTCGCTCGCTCTCTCTCTCTCTCCCTCCTCGGTATCACCTTCCCACATATAGATATGGGAACGTGCAATTGATTCTTGCTTCTTTGGTTCCCTTCACAAGCTCGGTGTCATCCATGTCAGTCGCTTCTCCTCCATGATTCTTCACATTCTTTTTCTCGTTTTGACGTTGGATTACGCCTGAAGCGGAGCGGGGGAGAAAAATGTCGCCTTTTTGCGCTTTAATCTTTTCTTTCATTGTTGATGTTGCCTCCACTGATGGTCACTGTGTGGCCGGCGACGCTGCGGTTTTCTTCTGATGAAGCTGTTACGACGAGTCTGTCGAGCATTTTGGGATTAGTTTATGTTTAGTGTCATGCACGATCTGTCTGCGCGGAATGTGTTCTCGAGGTGGAATCTTTGTCGTGAAAACAATACAAAAAGGGCTATTTTCCCCTCTTTTATTGGGTAAATAAGCCATCAGCTTGCGTTGGGAACGGCTACCTTAATAATAGCTGTAAGGTGATCGATCCCTTAGCTCTGAAATTATGGGGGGTCAAGACATGATTAGGAGGTTGAAGAACCCTTGTTGATGATTTGCTTGGGCCATGCAAATGAGAACCGGACCCTTTTTGCTTTAGATTTTATGCTCTTTCGAACATAGAAAGCAAGAACATTTGTCTTTTGTCTTCTTGTAAAGATTTGTAATTCTTTAGTTGAGACTGTGGGAAAAGCAGAGTTCGGGCTAGAAAACAGAGAACATTAGCTCTCTGTGCTGCAGTATGGGATCATAGCCCTGTGGCCTGGTGCTGCATACTGGTTCAGAAATCATGGCATCTTATTATCTAGTTAACAGAAGATATGATATTGGTAATATGGTTTCTTAAGTCTAAGATCTTCAAATTGTTGATATCTAGTTTACCAACTTTCTGTAATGCCCTATTATGGAAATGGGTTATCCACTAGAAAGCTTATTTCATGGACTACCAAAGTATTTGGAATCAATCTGTTTAATTATGATTTGTTTTCTTGGTACCCTTTCTTGTAGGTTTACCATTGAGGCTGTCTTGAATGGTCCATTTCCAAGATCAAGATTCAGCGTAAGTGGCTCCGAAAGGACTTTAAGACAAAGAGGCAAGGATCCCAGCATCACTCTTGGGGAAGAGAGAAAACAGAATATTTTTCTTGACAAACGTGGGAAATGGAGAATCTCTAATCCCAAAAAGTTGTCCAGGAAAAAGGGTATGACAATATATTTTCTGCAACCGAGAGAACAATCACTGTAAAACTGTTATATCTTAATTTTGCAACCTTGCATACCACAAAGCTCCTTTCGTTTGTACAATTATATAGTTTTCTAGTTTAATGTACCTCAGAAACACCTACTTCTGATATTATTTTGGGGCAAGATGTTGGTGAATTGCCCAATGCAGTGGCATCAAATTAATTGGTACATGATAACTTTCAAAGTCACAGCAGTTTAACCTGATCGATAGAAGCTGCTTGGAATAGCCAATAAAATTTCACTGGACTTTTGGATAGAACTTCTCACATGTACATAAATTTATATTTATGTGCCTTTTTAGTAATAGTTAAATTTGATTTCATTGTGTTCTTGGCAAGCTTAGTTTGAGATCACATCACAAACTTTTTGGTAACAATTTGCACTACATTAATCTTTTTTCTTATTAGGTGGTTCGCTAAGGGGACGGGGATGGAAATATGGATCTGGATTTGTAGATGGAGTTTTCCCTGTCCTGAGCCCCATGGCTCAGCAGATTCTAAAGTTTGTACAGAGGGAATCCGATGCTGCCAAAATTTGGGCTTCACTTGACACTCTCCCTCCTACTCATAATTTGTGGGATGATCTTATTAGTATATCTGTTCAGCTTCGTCTCAACAAACATTGGGATCCTATTATCTCCGTAAGGATCATCTTCCATTTTGTTATTGAAACTCTTGTTTTCACTCATTTCACCTGTGAATTAATGATGCGTTAGATACATATTTGTTCATGTTATCCAAACCTCCTCCTTACTTTTTCATAGTTATTCAGTATTTTTTCTGATTTGGTTGATCACCTGGTCACCGTTTAATTGACATTCTACTTTCGAGGACAGTGTGTCAGCTCCTGGCACATATTCTGATTTATACTCTGGATCAAAAATTCGTAGTCCCAGAAGGGCTGCTGGATTGGATTCCAATTTTGAATCAATTAGCCCATGTACACGAGTAGTTCTTTTGTTAGTCAGAAACAATGTCCTGTGTATTTAATATATGCCGAATATATCTAAATTCTTATTCTTTTGATCACACATCACAAAGGTCTTTACATATTTGCTTTTCTTTTCTGTTCATGTCTGAAGATTTAACTTCTTGGAATTGTCATATCTAGGTCTGTGAGTGGATACTGTACAAGAGTTCCTTCCATCCTGATGTACTGTGCTACAACTTGCTTATAGATGCATATGGCCAGAAGTTGCAACACAAGAAGGCAGAGTCAGTTTACTTGCAGCTTCTTGAAGCTCACTGCATCCCAACTGAGGATACTTATGCTCTTCTCTTGAGGGCTTACTGCACATGTGGATTGCTTGAGAAGTGTGAGGCTGTCCTTACTGAGATGCGAAAGAATGGCACTCCTCCGGGTACATCCCTTCTTCGATGATATCCTTTTGGCACTGAATTATAACACTTGGTTGCTCTAGATAGTTTTCGGAGGTATTTACGTATTGCTCAATTTGTATCTGTTCTGTAAAGATCTTCTGAAAGCTATGAAGTCACGAGTTTATGCAGAAAGAGCATCAATTTTGGTCAGGTGCGGTTGTATATAATGCATACATGGATGGGTTGTTAAAGGGAAGGAACACTGTAAAGGCTGTGGAGATCTTTCGGAGGATGAAGAGTGATCAGTGCCGGCCATCTACAGACACATATACAATGATGATTAACCTGTATGGGAAGGTAATGTTTCGGTGCGTCAATTTGTTTATCCAATGCATGCAAATCCATCCCTTTCTCGTATATTTTTGATGGATTTATTCTTGCAATGGCAGGCTAATCAATCAGCTACTGCCTTAAAGGTTTTTGATGAAATGAAAACTGAAAAGTGCAAGCCAAATATATGTACATATACTGCTTTGGTCAATGCATTTGCAAGAGATGGACTTTGTGAGAAGGCAGAAGAAATATTTGAGGAGCTACAAGAAGCTGGACATGAGCCTGATGTTTATGCATATAATGCCCTCATGGAAGCATACAGGTAAAATTGATGATCTTAAGATGATCCTCTGTAATTAGAGTCAATGATCATGCAGTTAGTGAGCCTATGAGTTTCCGATACAAAAGCCGTGCAGGTTTTCCATTTGGTTCCTATGAGATCTTTACTCTGATGCAACACATGGGATGTGAACCAGACACAGCTTCATACAACATTATGGTTGATGCATTTGGAAGGGCTGGTCTTCATGAGGGTAAGAGCATTTTTCTTGATAGTGGCATATGTTATGAGTTCTTCCTTTATTTTGTTGTGGTGTCTAACAACATAGATTATGCTTACACAATTACATATATAGAATAATTTACTTGTGGTCTCCATGCTGGATAGTCGCTGCAATTGGGAACTAATTTTGATCATTAATAATCATTTGTTTCATTTCCTAATTCTAATATACATCTGCAATCAGCAAGCTTCTTGGTCATTGTTATCACTCTGCGCTCCAACATTCCTTGATGCATTGAAGTAATGGAAAATAATCAACTTACTTTATTACTTGGAAGAACTAAACGAATTTACTATGCATCTATAGGCTTTTAAGCTTTTAGATGGATTGGTGGTGACGGAAATTTTATAATTGTCACAACTTTTCTGCAGAAGCCGAGGCTGTGTTTGAAGAACTGAAGCAACAAGGCATGACACCAACCATGAAGTCTCACATGCTGCTCCTTTCAGCCTACTCAAAGGCAGGAAACATCCCCAAATGCGAGTTCATCATGAACCAGATGCACAAATCTGGTCTCAAGCCCGACACCTTCGCGCTGAACTCGATGCTGAATGCCTACGGCAGGGTCGGTCGCTTTGAGAAGATGGAAGAAGTGCTGACCGCAATGGAGAACAGTCGGTTAGAAGGGGACATCAGCACCTACAACATCTTGATCAACATCTACGGTCGGGCGGGATTCCTCAGCAGAATGGAGGAGCTCTTTCGGTCCCTCGTGAGCAGGGGACTGAAAGCTGATGTGGTGACATGGACTTCGAAGATGAGCGCATATGCGCGGAAGAAGCAGTACAAGAGATGCTTGGAGATCTTCGAAGAGATGATTGATGCGGGCTGCTATCCCGATGGAGGGACCGCCAAAGTGCTGCTCGCATCTTGTACCACGGATGAGCAGATCGAGCAAGTTACTACTGTAATTAGATCAATGCACAAGGAGGCAAGGAATGTGTTTGATATATGACAGTTTAATCCAGTAATCCATGAGATATATGCACACTGTAATGACACTACAGACAGTTTCTCCTCTTGTTCACGAACTCAAATCAAATTTGAGTTGGATCCATTTAAACATAGATTGCTTTGTGGGGGTAAGACTAGGTATTTTGATCCTTTTCCAGATCCCGTATTGACGACAACATAGATAGCTTCTGACAGTATTGGCAAGAACAATATCCATTTCCTAAGCTCTGCATGGAGACATGTTTCAACAACTAAGAGAGAAGGCATCATCCATTCAACAATTCTATGGAGAGCAAACTAGAAAAGGCAAGCATACACTTCCACGGAAAACAGTTTCGCATCTCTGTAGATCATTTTGCAAAGGTTCACTAAGTAAACATGAAGAACAACTTATTCTGGGTATTAACATTTTGATAGTCTCCAGCCATTGGACTGAACAGAGCATGGCTTTAGCAATAACATACTGATATCTCATGATACCAACCATGAAGAAGATAAAATCGGAAGACAAGTTTTGGAGAAGATAATGAGCAAGGAAGCATCTATAGCAGCAGTTGAGTTATCCAGGAGGCCATTTCAACTGCCTTCCACCAAGTACGTGCAAATGTAGATGATAGACTGATTGACCTGAAAGCAGAATGACATGATCATGATGCTGCGGACAAGCCATAGATATCAACAATCTGTAAAGAAAGATTGGAGAGACTTACATGCTTCAGGACCGTTGTTGATAACAACACGGAAACCATCTACTATACCTTCCTTCTCAGCCACTAGTTTTGCAGCAAATAGAAGATGACCTAATACCTCAGCATGCCTTGGTTCAGCCTGAACAAGTTCGTGAACATGTTTAAACATGCAGCCGGGATAGAAGCTTATCGAGACAATACATAGATAAAAATTAAAAAAGACAATCACATGTTTAAAAAATTCTGCTTCAGCACCTCAGAGAATAAAAAATCAATCTTGTAATAAATTAGTTCGACAACATATACTCAACACATGATACAAGAAATTGCTATCCATCCTTCATTGTGATTCATTGCTTTTATATACTTAAGTATCAAAACTGTTCAACAAAATAAAAGGTAAAGAAATAGGTCAAGCAGTTAAGTAAGCAGTCAGTCAGGTTGTTACTAATTTCTAAAGAAGTGGTGACCGATAAAATGAAAGGCAACATGATGATGTCCACCTATGTTAATTTATTAAATGCAGATGATCTGTCTAGTCCTTGTTCAGTTAGATGTTTCATGGTCTGATGTCTGCAAGTGTATGCCCTTTAACCTTCTAACAATCAAGAGTAGCATGGCACCAAGCATCTCACAACGAGAACCCAATTGCTTTGATGTAGAAACTAGAAAGTAATAATTTTAGTTAATTGTGGCACATATAAACTCATAAAAGTGGTCATTGACTGGCTAGTAATATACACCTTTTTACCTTCATTTGAAGCAATAAATCTTATAAAATACAATATAATACAACATGGACACAGTAATTATTGTAACTTTATACTTCTTACATTGTAGCAATCTCTGATCGATCATACTGTATAAAACTCAAAAGAAGCATCACTACCATTCGTGTAACTAACAAATTCAGCAAGTGGTAACTTAAAAGTTATCAATTACCTACATATTGCCAATTCCCCATATATGCTAAAGCTTTATGTATATGATGCAAGTGTCCAAGCTACGTGCGATATATTAAATGTGCATGGTACAATAGTCGTAATATGTTTGAACTTTCAAACATGTGTTGAAGACTGTCTGATAAACATCATTGCAGACACAAACATTTGAAATTGTTACGCACACTGCAGATGCTAAAGCTTTATGTATATGATTTAAGTATCCAACCTATGTGTGATATATTCAACGTGTATGGTACAATAGTCGTAATATGTTGAACTTTGAAACATGTGTCAAATACTGTCTGATAAATGAAATTGGCAGACAGACACAAAAATTTGAAATTGTTATGCCTCGTAGGTGCAGTATGTGGGCCAGCGACTAAGGAAGGCATTTATGATTTCATAACAAGTCAAAAAACCTAGTTCAAAGAAAAGTATCAGATGAGCATAGAAATATATTTCTAAACAAACGTGAACTCCAAAAACTGACATAACAAAATTGACAAGTCAAGGAAAATAGTTTTTCTATCTTTAAGTTATGCACAAAATTCAAGAGCCTCTAGGAGAGTCATAACAAAAAATATATTGAACAACACGGTAATTTATAAACTTAGAGAATAACAACACAACATGGGCTAAAATTCAACGGTAAAGTATTATGATTTTGTCATCTGCAATTTAACGGTGCAGGAAACTATACTGTGTGGATAAAGGAGTTGTAGATGCAGAACGCCAAGCTCCCAGTTATAAAAAATATATCAGGAGGTTAATGTCCCAGTGTATTAGTATTCTATTCTCATAAATAATTGTGGAAACAAGTAATTCACAATGATCTTAGGGGCTTAACAAAGAAGATGGGATGACATGTTACCAAAAACCATTGAAGCAGGATATTTTTTCCTTGCATGAGAAATGAAGCAACAGATTTGTTTACAGGATTCATTGGAAAACCTCTCAAAAGATTATTGATTATAGCTATTCCCTGTTCATGCTGTCTTGAAATCTATCATCTAGTTTGACAGTAGCTTTATCAGAGATTTATTCCAAACCTTCTAGTTAAGTTGCTCCCGTATTCTTGTATCTAGATCATCTTAATGAGCTCTTATGACTACTTACAGCTGTTATTACAGCAAAGTGTATGGAAAAATTCGGATTGAGGTCTCTAAATTTTCATTAGTAAAGATCTAAACCAAGGCAATGGTTAACTAAATCAGAGGCGCTCGGTTTATTTTGTTTTCCGTTTCATCTGTCTATGTGAGTACTAATATTGTTTTTTCTAACTGCAGAATTTACTATTAGAACATATTAAGCAATAATAGAGTATTTATATAGCCGACTAAGAAAGCATTTTACTGTTTCCGGTACCACAGAAGCACTGTTTTTCCGGATCTCATAGTAGACCATCTTCAGAAAAATTCTGTTGCCAAGATAGAGTATAAAGGCTTTTAAGAAACATCAAGAGTTCTCCATTTTCTTATATGCTTAACATAAGCGATAAACGAAATATATGCATAAGTGGGAAAATTTTGTATACTGTTGTCCTGGCAAGTAGCAATTCAGTAAATGTTTGTAATAGGTCAAGAGCATTACTTTCTTTATCTTATAAATGAACAGAATAAAAATCAGGACGGGCGATCAAAGGCACCTTTCCAAGTTGGGTCAATCCATCCCTTATCTTTGGAATCACCAGAATGTGAACTGGAGCTTGAGGGTTAACATCTCGAAACGCCAATACCTTGTCATCTTCGTAAACAATTGTGGACGGAATCTCCTTTGCTATTATCTTATCAAATCTAAACAAGAAAAAAGAAAGATAGATACATTAATTATCTAATGTTAAATCAGTCAACTATGTCAACAGAGTAGGACATCAAGCCTCTGCAAGATGTAATTTTTATCCAGCAAGGAACAGTATCCATCTTATACATGGTTGGAGCTCCAGTATCCGCAATCTCGGCAGCTGCTTTGGCAGCAGCCTCTTCATTGCCCGAGGCAGCATTACGGCACATAAACCTGACTCGTTGTACCAAACAAAAAGGGTAATAAATTTTCACAGGCACCAGAGAATTTCTCGATCGTCATCGCACAACACGTAAATGTGTGCCAAGTTTGCACTTTTGAGTAGCATACAGCCAAATCTGGCAATGAGAAATGAAAGGAAATATTGCAAGAGATCTCGAACCTGCGAGGGAGAAGAAGGACGGGCGGAGGCCGGGCGAGGTTGATGGATGATGGATTTGGTAGGGGTTTTGGGAACACATGGCCTCGTAGCGCACGAGAACGCCTGCCAACATCGATGTGAGAGAAAGAAGAAGAACGACAGAGAGGGAGAGAGAGAGAGAGAGTACCGAAGAAGAGAGGATGTTGTCAAAGCTGCGGTGGAGGCCATGGCAGCGAGCAAGAACGCTTCCTCGCTCTAACGAAGGCTTGGATCGGATCACCCAATTCGTGTAGGGGAAATGTCTATACTACCCTTTAGATTGAAGATTACTCTTTTGCAACTCTTTTTGTTATTTATAGTCTCATAAGAAGAAGTCGACGATTCCTAATGTTATCCTTTTATAAATAAATAGACGTCTATATCCTTAATTTTATTTTTTATTTGTTATATATATATATATATATAATTTTGATTTAAAGTTCTTTTCTATTAATGCTATGTTGCATATTTTATTTTGATTTTTGTTTTTTCCCCCTACGAATTGGTGGCAGAGAAAACAGAGAAATTTTATTCCCCATCATATCAGAATTTTATTAACAAGAAGATTTTTTCCAGAAAAGAAATTTGCTCTGCAATATTTAGCTTAGTATTGTCATAGAACATCTTCCGCATCATTCCTGACCATATATTTTTCTCAACTAAAATACAATAGTTTTTTCTTAATTTTTATCAGTTATGAATTGAATTGCTACAGTGTCATTGTAGTTTGAGCTTTTCATTTCCTTAATTGCCACCACAGTTTAAGCAATCAAGTTCAGCCACACTCCAAAGTTTAATGTTCCTTCTTCTGAACATTAAGAAGTAGATGCTTGCATGTCTATCCAAATTGAATCAGGGAATAAACTTATTAATTGAGAATTGAAGTGAAAAATGTGTACATCAGAACAGCATTGTTTTCAGAGAAATTTACAACTGGTGACTACCTAGAGAAAGTGGCTGATGACAAGAAAAAGCACCAATGAACACCGATACCGACGAAGTTACGACAAACATGAGGATCAGGCGATCGGTCTCGATAAGTTTCGTGCTATCGAACAAGTTATGTCATCGCTCTGTTGTCAGGAGGATTAGCTTCTAGGATGGCACGCTGATGCATTATTACCTCAGAATCCCAGAGAGAATTTCGACGTAGCTACTTGGAAGTTCCAACGACGATGAAGCCACAGACGAGGAGAAGGGATCACCTGGGGTTAGATGGAAGGTTTCTCTGGAAAGTTCCGGGAGCAAACACTGGGAATGAGTCCACTGCTTGTGCCCTTTCCCTTGTGTCGCGACTCGTACTTGGTGTGCTCTCAGATTCCGGTGGTCTTGTTACGGTGCTGCCATCGCTTCTCTTAGTATCTTTAAGAGGGGCATTTAGAAGAGGCCCGCCAAAGAAAATAGACTGCCCAGTGTAGGTTAAACTCTCTTGTTGCTGTAGAGGAGGCGTCACTGATGTAGAAACATTAGGTTGAGAAGCCTTCCTCCCATAAGCACCAGTTTCCGCAGAAGAAATAGGCAAGGGAATCCAAAAAGCCTTAACTGGGGCTTCTGCACTATTCTCAGTTCTAGCAGTTGCTGGTACCGAGACATAGCGACCAGCTTCTTGATCCCAAACAACAGAAGCCCTTCTATTCTCCCTGGCCATTGCTGTGGCAGATTGGAACATTGTGTTGGCGAGCTGGGTGGCAGGAGGAGGTCCTGCTGGAATATATGGCGGAGGTCGATCAGGAAGCGAATGCTGCACAAGAAGTGAGCTCGGGGCAATCAATTCATGAGTATGAGCCGGACTGCTCAGGCTGCTTGTGCTTTGTGTTCCAGTCTCATAATCATCCTTGCTAGCAATACTTTGCGGATAAGAGTTTCCTAGGGGAGATAATTTTAGTTCCCCTCTTGATCCTTTAGTAGCATTGTACTCTATGCTTAAACTACTCCTGCTGCTTGCATTTACACTGGAACTTAGATCAGGAACAAGCACACGATGAGCATCCATGGGCCGAAGAACTGAAGAAGATGCCCTGGCTTTGGCTGCCGCTTTCATGGCCTCACTAGGGTCCAATTTGGCAAGCTTCCAAGGATTTCTCTTAACAGCCTTTTTGGACTTGGCAGCCTTTTCCACATACCCAGCTGCATCTGGATCTACAGTTGATGGTACCATTCCAGGTTCCAAGTGTGGGATAATCTCATCCTGTAGCAGAAATTTAGGAATGAAGTATACACGGATTAAGAACAACCAAGATCATGGACAGCTGAGAAATATTAGCCTGTTTTGGAGTTTATTCATAGACACGAGCAGACATATGTCACAAAGTACGATGAAAAGTAACCTTGACAAATTGATTTTCTATGACTGACTCATGCAAAACTTTTAATAATTATAGCAGGAATATGAGTATCTAATGAAGGCTTACCTGCTGATCAACAAATATCCTTGGAGGGGTGCACCATACACCTTTGTACTGGAAACCAAGGGAACTTCCAGCACTTAAGCCAGTTGTTGAAGAATTAGTTGGAGAATAGACAGGGTTTGGTGCTTCTTCATCAACAGATGCTGGAGGTGCCTCGCTCATCGCTCTCATAGCCACAACATACTCGTAGGTCGTAATTCCCTGGTAAAGGGAGGGAAAGGTATAAAAATTTGCTGCACGAAGAATCTGGATAGGTTTGAGCTTTGTTTGACAAACCTTTTTAATCAGAATCATGTGGAAAAAGAAAAGTTCTCCCAAAGGTACACATGCGACTACTGAAACTGCAGTGCAAACAGCCTACAAAACCAAGTTTTAGCAAGAATATGCCATGATTAAAGCTGTTATCTTCATACTGGATTCACTGAGCAAACATATTCTAGAACCAATTCATTTTGTTTGTTAAACTAAAAATAACCGAAAAGGACATTCAAAGAGGAAAATATTACAACAGTTGAGTGGGCACATAGGTACTAAAATCTTGCTATTGAATTTCCTATTTCAATTAAGAATACAAAATACCTACCTACCCATCACAAAGAGAAGATTATCCATTTAGCAAGCAAATTGGACATTTCAACGAGCAACATAA